GTCAGTGATTAAGTGATAAGTTGATCTCCTACAGAACAAAGAATGAAACTTTAGTATACACAAAATAATAAAATACAAGGTTCTGCGAATGACCAATGTAAACATTACATAATAACTTGTTTATATCAAGGTCAAAGTAATTATCGTATGAACCTAAAAACAAACAACTAAAAGTTTAATTTAATTTACGAATATTTTTTTATTTTATATTTATGAAGCATATCTCACCTACTTCTCGATAGACTCTATACCTGGCGCATGATCCTTTCAAATAATATTTCACGTCATATCACTCAACTACTTAAAAAATTAACTTCACTTGACATCATGAATGAAGCATATATGTAAGACAACTAACTTGCATTTTGACAAAGAAGTAACAACAACAACCTTTAAACATATATTAATTTTTATCATAATTAGCATGCATAATATGATAATTTGTAGATCATCGCTCTTTGTGAAATGTCTACCCTGTTATTCATAGATGGCGTCATAAAAAAATCATATAGGACAATACTAAACGTATAAATAAATGATAAATAATATGTGAAATTAAAAAAACACAACTCGATTTCATGACTTTCTTCTTGACTCACGGCTTTGATATTTTCTATACCTTCAAAAGTTGTACTCACTTCTCGGGAAAAGGAACAAGAGTGTCAATCTCCCGTGGATTCCTTCAACAATTAGAGAAAACAAAAATAACATTAAAATGTATTTTGTTTGAGAAAACCATGACAAAAAACTTTTATTTTACAAATAGCCCAATTGCATTTTTTTTTTTTCATAAAAAAATGACGACTAATAACTATCATTTCATATATGTGGATGAATCTTATCCAATGTCTAGTGAGAAATAGATAGCCAAGTGAACCCTTTGATGCTACATAAGAAGAATTCAAAATCCATATATCTCATGAATTTCACGGTTAATTACTCTTAATCTTTCATGAATATCAAACTTTGAATATGAAGTTACAGAACATTTCTCAATTTTCTATAAGACTTCCCTTTACATTTCTTTGGTTGCCATTTAGAAGAGATAGACAAGTGCAAAATAAACCATACAAGAACTGGCGATACTAAAGATAATCCACTTAAATGGTATACTATGACAATGAGACAAAGTAGAAGGATCACTGTTAGACTTCTTAATAGAAGCAACAGTTAATGTGCCATAAAGTCATATGTGTTTTTCTCTCTTATGAATCGACAGACTGATCAATCTTACATGGAGAAATAGGAAACCAAATAGTTTCATGAAATTATAAGACCAGACTCACCTTAATGTGTTTCATTAATTAATTTGCATGAACACTTTCTGTTATTTTTGTGTCTTCTGTCAATTGTCTCGTGGAGAATGTACTGTGGATACTTTATAAGGGACTATTGCCATATAGAAAATGGAATGGTTGTGACTGTTCATCTAGGACTCTTTAATTTGTAGAGTCCTCTTTTTTAAGTAGTTAGATTATTAAGTGCCATATATGTACCCTAACTCTTTAAATTTTTTTTAAGCATCGAACACTGCTAATTTACAGTTGAATCAACAAATAAAGCAAGTAAATTGAGGAATATGCATAGCAAAATTCGAGAGAAACTCAAGTTGTAGTAGCCATTGGTTGCTTTTATATGATAAACTCCGATTCAGAAGACTAAATATAATTCCCATGAGACGCTCCAAATATAAATCTGAAGACGTACAAATTGCTTGATTAAAGAGAATTTGCAATTTAAAGTTTGATGACATTTGGATTTTGTGGAGAAATGACAAAGGAAATCTATTTAAAATAAGATGAACGGACAAATGAAAAGGAAAAGCCAAAGAAAAGAGAGTGTAACCTTTAGTGATTGTTGTCTCGTAGAGAATGGTTGTGACTGTTGGCTTTGGACTCTTGTATGTTTTGTTTTTTTTTTTTTAAAAAAAAAAATTACCGTAAATAGGATGTTAACATAAGAGGGGTAATAAAGTAATTTAACTTTTTAACTAAAGGGTTCATGCTTTTAATATAATAGTTTCTATGTACATGCGTTGCACGTATATTCCTTATCAATTTGATTTAAATTTTCTATAATAATGATAAATTTACTTGCATGTAGACCTATTAAATTTGAAAGAATTGAATATTGTTCTGACCTACAAAAATGTAAAATTAACTTAAATTAATTAGATATTTGTTGCCTTTACACTATATTTCTAAATAATTTTTTAATTATGGAATGTCATACTACAAAATGTGTTTCTTTTCTTTTTCTCCACTAATAATAAAGTTCCGAAGCTATTTGGAAAAAAAAGAAAGAAGAGGTCTTATGAATCAAGAAATAGTCATATATTGGTGCGGATCAAGTTTTGTTTGTTTGACTGATGTTATCATGATTCTGTTACCTTCTTTTAGTTCAACCTTTATGCATGACAGAATTGAAACTTAAAGAATTTAGATGTAAAGTGTGCTTATAGTTACGAAGATCTTTGAATACATGATCCTAGACGGAATTAATCGCAAATTTGGTTTGCTTCGAAATACATACTCATCATGACCCAAAACTCTCCTCTAATATCTCAGAGATCTTTGGTATTCATGCATATTACTCACGGTCAAGTCAACCATGATAGTCACTTAATTAACCTTCAAATAAATTTGTATTTGTGGACTTTATATCTCTATGATTATTTTAGTATCTATGGGTCGAGTGAAAACCGTCTAAAGCAAATATGAGACGTGTCATGATTATCCGAATAATTCTAATATCTCGTATCCGAACACTTTGACAAGTCCAAACATCTTCAAGAAATAGTGTTTGTCCCTGATTATTGACCTAGTCAATAATAAATTTATCATAATTAGAGAAAATTAAAGGAGATTATAAGAGAAGTTGGATAAGTCACCCAGTGAGATCTCACATTAAAGGTAATGATAGAGAATTTTCCTTGAAAAAATATGTATCATCAACCCATTGTTTATTTTCCTTGATACTAATCCAATTGTCACGTTAGATAAATAAGGAGTCTATTATCTAATAATGGTGAAAAAAATTCTCCATTTGTATGAAAAAATTTTCATACTCACGCATCAAATAGGTAAAGAAAAGGTAAAATTAAAGATCCAAAAAGAAAATTATAAACAAAAGTGATCGATGATGCACATCAACGCCTAGTATTAATAAAATATAAGGCAAGTTCTCTGCTTGACTGAAAAGATATAAAGTAGAAGAATATCTCTAAAAGTAAGATTTTACTTGTTCACAATATTGTGCCTTTATTATCACTCTTCATTGATGTTCAAGATTCTTAAAAGACAAAGTACCTGAAAAGTAAATCAAATATTATCGTTAGATTTTACTCTCAGAGGAAGTTCATCTATTTAACCATACAAATAAAATTATAGATTTCAATTTGCAGAATATAGGCATCCAACATGTTAAAGAAAAATAAATTTCCTATAATAAGTATTTTACATGTAGAAGCACGTAAAAAGACTCCTTCTATGAGCTGAAACCATGCATTTTGATATCTTCAAAAGTAGACTCCTATTATGAGCATAAACAGCACAGGAAAATTGATTATCTTCAAAATTGAAGCTTGGTGTCCGTAGGACTCCTTTGCTGAAATAAAAACTGCAATCACTTTCTGATCCATTGCGAAGTCTATCCAATATGGACTTATATATTAAAGTAAAATTTAGTTAATTTCAAAATCATGTATGTTAATTAGGAAGAGAGTTTGAATGTTACTTATCTTTCGAAAGAAATAATTTAGCTTTTAAATGGAATGAAGAAAATAATATTTGCACTTTTGTAATGATATGGATATTGATAAGTCGGTATAGATAGAAAATTGATAAATCTTACAAGATTTTGATTTCCCAAAAGATATACTACTAATTATTTAAATAAGATAATATTTAAGATAAAGAGAAATGTTGAGGTTCAGGAAAACTAATTGTAGACAAAATTTAACGCGAGAATAAAACAAAACTTGAGAAACCTTGCAATTTGATTCCTTACTGCTCACTACTTCTTACGTGATAAATACATGGCTTCTCCAACACTAATTCTTATTTCATTCATACGGTTAAATCCGCATTCTATCACAACTCTGTCTCTTAACGTGTTGTATTTCCAACTGTGTCCTTTTCTTATTTACTTGTAGTAAAAACAAATATAAATAATTAATGGTATAAAAGTCATTCAATATTTTAAGGATATTTTAGTCGTTCAACATTTAGCGTTGAACATTCGTGCTTTTATAATAATATAGATAAATAGATAGATAGATATAGATATAGATTGAACATTCAATTAAGAATAAAGATAACACGCCTTAATAGTCTAATCAAGGTATTTGGATTTTAGCAATGTCTATATCTGAAAAACAATACTACAAGATTCTCAATGATTAACAACTCCCAAAATCCCTTCGGCTAATAGAAGGGTCCTGGCGTACAGGCACAAACTAAAGATATCTGTATGGAATTATATAATTTTATTTCCACGGTAGCTTTATCTGCCTTCTTCTTTTACTGCAACTTTTCTTTCTCAAGCCTTTCAAATTCTTTCTTTGAAGATCCCGTAGTATTCCGCAATACAATCAGCTTCTGAATATAATGTGCACACGAATCACGATCAATTAAGAATCTAAGAAACAGAGAAAACCCCATGAGAATGGCCTCTAGCAAGTTGCTTCTCCAAAACTAACATAATTAGTTTATATGGTAATATAGCCTGTAAAATACTTGTAAATTATTTTGAAAGCCCAAGTGATAAAGACACAATAATTGTCAATTGATTGAACATAAACCACAGTGTGAAATTCACACCGTGGCACACTTCTCATATCCAGTGTTTTAAAAGGCATTTTTTGCCTTGGGCGAAGCATGCCAAAAACACAACGAGGCATACTGGTGGGAAGTAAGTATCGTACGCCCCAACCTTCTGGGCGTTCGCCTAGGCGTAAGCCCCAACGCTTTGGGTGTTCATTTGGAGCATGCACAACAAAATAATTTCCAAATCTGAGGCTATATTGCTTAGGGTACACTGAGGGACTTCATCAATGACACCATCAGAAATACATAGAAAAGAAGGTAAGAAATAATAAGAGTGAGAAGCAACATTTCTAATGTACAACATTTTAATTGTGTAAGCACAAGTTACAAAGGAACTTGACGCTAGCAGGTGTTACAACTCTTTTCAAGTAACACACACTTCTCCGAGCAATCTACATCTGGAAATAAAACTAAGTACGCTGCTTCCTATCATCATCATCCTCTTCATCAGAATCACCACTCTCACGGAAACGTGGATTCTTCTCCTGCAGCAAAAGAAAATGTCACATTGCAAAAACAAATATCACTAAAACCGAAGAGGGGACACAAACAATAGAGGCAAAAGATTTGAAGCTCAACCTCTTATTCGTTAAACCACAAGCTAAAATCAGGAAACTTGCTTCTTTAATATCCACAAAGACTTCGTTTCATTGTCAATTTTACATTATTTCAGTTTCAGTGGCAAGCATAGAGTACAAATGAAAAGATGGAACAGGAGATGCTGGTGAAAAAAAACAAAGCAATAAAAGATGTCGCTTAGGTATAAAAGAAAATACCGGTCTGGACTCATGATCAGAGGTTCTTTGAGATTCACGGTTGTAACTCCTCTTTGGATAATCTGACCGATGGTGGTCATCTTCCCTGTGTCGCTTGCGATGATAGTCTGTTTTCCTCATAAGATAGAGTTGTTTGTTAAATCTACTATACTGAAACAAAAGATAGAAAAATACAATGTTGTAGAGCATTAGAACTGAATCAAAAGCGTTGAAAAGCATACCTCTACCGTGTCGATAAGAACCTCCTTGACCTTGATTTCCACCATGTCTGCCATCTGCAGTTTTTATTGTACAAGTCATTGTCATAGACAAATTAAAAAGTCTACAAGAGTACCATGTTTATTATCTATCATATTGTATTGCAAAACCTAAGGCATAACCAAGTTTGAGCATGGCATATAAACTGTTATGATGTGAAGTTATTGAAAGTGCAAAAAAAACTCAATGGAGGTTGAAGGTCCGGTGGATCAGCTATTCAAAGCTTAATTCGAAATCCTAAAGGGGTTGTTTCAATCTCTTCCTTTCACTTTTCCTTGTTAGAGAAATCTCAAGTTAAATCTGATTTTCAACAGATTAATAAAACACAGCACGAATTTGGAAAAATCCAGTTTAATTATAGGGAAGATTGAAGAATACGGCTAGCTCAAAGTTTAGAACCGGAACAAAACCAAAATCGTTAACAACCAGAAGTTGCCATTCAACCAGTGCTCAAACTTATACAATTTAGTCGTACTCATTTCATTCGCAATGGAGCATTCAGAATGTAGACATTATGCTTAGAGCATTAGTTGATATCAAAACTACCATTCCTCTGACAGCTTAACTGTAACCCAACCCATCACATAAAAGGCAGATATACTCGAACTAGTGTGGTGTCATGTAACAAATAGACAGCTTGTGGAATCAACATTGAAACAAGCAGATAATAACAATTCAGAAGAACTTCACCACCAAACCAACTACTAATAAACACAAGCACTACTTAGAATCAGTTGTACCCCCAGCTAAAAATAAAAGCTTTCTACTGCATTAAAGCACACACAAGTCCGGTAGAAGTAAATCTAAATCTGCAGATAAGAGGCGCTTCAAGTTGACTCTTCAATCAAATGCAGTCTTTACATTTCAGATTCCACATATACATTTCAGATTCCACATATTATCAAATTAATTTGAGAGAACGAAGCTCTTTGCTAAGCCGCAAGAAAGAGTCAATATTATCAAGAAAGAACTGATGACTAAGTTCAGAGCCCTCAAACTTACAGTGAGGTGGCGGCATAACTGGTGGGTAAGCGCCCAATGATCCAGTACCATAATCCACTAGCTGCCTCTGTGCTTCCAACTCCTTTTGGACCAATTTTCCATAACCACCTCGACGTATAACTAGTTAAGGTATTAAAGACAACCCAAAATTCTTAAATATTAAATGGAGAAAGAAAGGAAAAAATATGACGTCTTAAACCTTGTAGCTCAGACTATCATGCAAGAGTTTCAACCATTCGCAGATAAGGCGATGAAAACTTACTCAATTGATTAACCATAAAGTATAACATTTTTGAGTACATTCATGGGTTAAACGTTAAGGGGTCGTTTGGTTTGAATACGGCTTATGCTGGGATAAGTTATGCTGGGATTAGTTATGCTGGGATTATTTATCCTGGTATTATTTTTTATCCACTGTTTGGTATGTTGTATTTAAAATGACAATTGCATAATTTCTAAGAAGAAGGTATAAGCTGTACCGGCACTAATTACCCCGCCCTCTACAAGGTATAAGTTATCCCGGTACTAATTTTAATCCCGGGATAACTTATACTAGGTTTGCAAACCAAAAAGTATTAAGGTGGTATTAAATTTTTATACCAGCACTATACCTTCTTATACCTCATATCAAACGACCCCTAAGTCTTTTCTTCGAATTAAACATAATTCTAAAAACTATTGGGCAAAAAAGAAAAAACTTTTGAAACTTGTGGTAAAAAATGAGCCATAGATATTTGTGCGTCCAGAAATCATCTCATTAAGGGTAAAATGGGCATTATAAAGTTAAATTGTCACTAAATATAGAAAGGTGTCATTCTTTTTGGGACTGACTAAAATAGAAAGAGTGTCAAATAAATTAGGACGGAGGGAGTACATATTAGAAAACCATGTAAACAATGTCAACCATCTTTCCTATCCTTGATTAACATATCTATGAGCCAATATTCACCTCCATAAAAGAATGGTCACTTACACTAAAAAGTGCACTGCTCTACGTCATAGAAGTTCTGATTCCTGATAAACAATTAATGACAGAAGAATAAATGAAGATCTACTTCGAGGTATTTCCTTGTAACATAAATAAAAAAGAAAACCATTAGCTCGTTAAAACTTTGCAATCATCCCACTGGCGACAAGATGAAATTTCTATTTCTTTCATCAAGCCAATTATCCTACAGCCACAGGAGAAGGATACAGAAAAATGAAGCGTTTGAGACATGTTTGAGACCACTAGGTTCATTCACCCAAAGCAAAATGCATTTACAAAAAATCAGGGTGACTAAGTACTTGAAAAAAAATGCTCTAGAATCTTATGATCACAAGAGGAAAGAAGCTTTAGTTTTAACCACTATCTTATCTAGTAACTAGATGTGGAGGGTTGTGTTCTTGTAGACGGTGACACAGAACCTGAAAAAGACAATAGAATCTGATCCACCAAACTTTTGATGCCCCACAGCTACTTCTAGGGTAAGTACTTATTGAATAAGTACTATATAAATACTTCTTAAGGAGGCACTTGAGTGACCTATGATGTTGCATCAACAAAGAATAACCAGTAATGTTAATGTATAGAGGAATGATTTACACAGTTACATATATTACCTTGTTAAGTACCACTATAGTTATCCTTGCCATATAGACAAGTTACACACATATGTACGTAATAATTTTTAAAATAAGTACATTTCTACATAATAATAAAACGTGTAAATCCATTAAATTACATCCTTTTCTCAATTTACTTTCTGAGTAAATACTCCAAGTTCACTTGCTGGCATAAATCTTTCAAGCTGAATATATTCCAGTTTTGACGGATTCTTTTTTTTAATCAAAAGTATACCGAGTTTTAGTACATTTTTACACACTTCCCTGCTTTTTTACTGATCATTGTACATAACATTTGTCGAAACTTCACTTTTAGACATCCTTCAGCATAGCACGAAGTATAGTTGACTAACTTTGTCCTAATAGTTGCAAGCCTTTTTATTCCCATTTCAGTGGCCATTCAGTTGCAATGTTCATCACTTTAGGCCATGATAGGACCAAAACATATTTTCTCTGAGAAAAAAATATATAAATAGTTAAAAGAATGGAAAGAAAGTTGTTAACCCATGCTTATCAACTGAAGAGAAGGATATCTGGATCGTAGTCAGTACGATATTCGTCGCGCACCTGGAAAAAAGATGTAAATCAGATCACACGCTAGCATGAATCTCAAGATAAAAGGATGAACCACTATGGAGATTACCTGTCCACCACTCCTACCACGGCCCCATTGCCTACCATCTTGAAATCCCCAGTCAAAATCCACACGAATAGGGCGATCATCAAGAATTGTCCCACTGATATATTTGACAGAATCTTCAGTGTCGTCCCTAGAGTAGAACCTGAAAATAGTTTCAGTTATTACAGATGCAAATGATATTCTCCTTGCCTCTTTTATTTTCTTCTTTGGCTTCTTTCCCTTGAATGCGAAAGGGTTGAATGGGAGATAAACCTAAAGGTATACACGTAACAAACTATAATGTACACCTAATACCATCTAGGGGTTTATAATTAGAATTTACTTCAATTATCAAAAGAAATTATGAGCAAATAGGTTTTGCTTATAATTGCAGAAACAATGACAGCAATAAAGAGACAAAAGCTCGTGATACACCCCTTCCATTCCTCATGCAATTTATTACTCTGGCAAAAATATATACTACTTATTTATCTGATATCATTTCAACAATTTCTCTCCTTTTTGCAGTTAAATATTTTTTTAACTCCTTGCCCTCAAACCTAATATAATAATTCATTCAAATATTTGTTCTTAAACTTTGTCAATGTAAACCCAAGTCAATTAAAATGGCACAAAGGGAGTACGTCAGCAACAATCCTACTCGCAAAAGAAATGCGGACCAAATGTGGCAAAATTTGACATATTTGGAACAGGGTAACAAGACAGAGAATGCAAAGAAGCAGATTTACCTCCCTAATACAAATCCACCAACCACCCACTACCTACCACCCAGGCATCCCAAAGAAATACAACCTAAACAAACACCATAACCTATGAAAGTTTCTTGAAACATTGGAAAAAATGTTCTGCAAGTCATCAAAGAAATATTATGGCAGGAAGTTGCAAATACATAAATAATACATTGGGTTTTTAAAGCAAGAACTGGGATCTACTTTTACGTGGTGAAATGCTAATTTGGTTTCGTTTTTGTAAGGAACCTATTAATCTTTCTCTGACTTTCAGGCTAGAAACTCTCTTCTTTCCTCATTAATGATATCATTAAGAAGGTAACAAATGAGCGACAACTGAGTGGAACAAGAGATAACATCAAAGACGGCACAGCCACTCCTACTTTCTGTTGTGAGAGACAAAGTAAACCAACCCTGGACTTGAAAAAAGGGGAAAAAGGATTAAGACAAAAATAGGAGGGAAATTTTCCTTTTCTTTTCAACCAAATAGGTGCCAGATTTCCTTTGCAGTTAAAAGTAGCGGAAAGATGAAGAACTAAGACCCCATTTTACTAGACGTTTTGTAATATCAATAAGGATTTCAGGACTATGAACAAAATAGCTGCATATTATTTTTATTGGTAACAAAATAGCTACATATCTGGGGATTAGTGTCAAATAACAGTTCGCACATTTCATTTTTCTCCTAATAGATGCAACAGAAATAATAAATACTTTCCCTTCCCTTTCTAGGACTCTTTAAATTCAAAAATTCCATGACAGAGTTTGACATTGATCATTATGTCAGAATAAGATAGATCATTATTTCAATTTTTTGGAAGTCCCTGTTTTTTTTTTGTACCTAGACTTCTAAAAGATTTAATAGTTTTTCATTGTTGATGAAAAGTTGTACATTTCCATTTTCTCATTCAGGTTTCAATCTGTTTGGCCTTTTCCTTTTAAGATATCCTAGGTCTTTCTTCAAAAGATCAAAATACTCATATCTGACTTCACTAGAAATCTGCCTAATACCTTCTCTACTCTCAATAGCTAACTTCATGCTTATCCAGCAGTATTAACCAGAGCCTTGACAAGCTCGCCATATGATAATCTTGCCTCCCGTCCTTTTGTTTTCACATTCCCTAAGAACATCAGACATTAGAATTATACAGCTCAATGCAATGTGCTCTTTCACTGCTACCGCTTCTTTTCAATTTAGCTTTTCCTCACACATCTAGCCCCATCGTTCACTCTCAAGCCACCTTTGTATCATCCTATTTAAACACAAATTTAATAGCACCTCTCAGCTTGAACCCTGTCTGTTGAAACTTCTACTCGCACAGTGCCTATGCACCAAAGGAACAACTGAAACTAGCATTTTGCTTTCAAGTAAGAAAAAACAAAGTTCATCCACTATATTCAGCAGACATCAGTCTTGCCTTATGCCATTGGCGTTACTCCAACACAGCCAACTTTGCACCAGAAAAGAAAACCAATATATATATATATATATATATTGACCCCTTGCCTCTACCAAGGATCTTGTCCTTTCTTGGAAAACGTAGGGGGTCTTTGACTGCACCTAATGAATGTCAGACTAAGTAAAATGACATATAATATGCTAAGATAACTATAGAGAGCATGTCAAAGTACACTAAACACAACACTGAATCAGATTTCAGGGACATTTGACTGAATCAGATCAAATTATTTGGTATAAGCATCTTTAATAATCTTCAGAGTACTTATTAAGTTCCTTGTATTAATCCACAGGACACGTGTCGTCTAATTATTAAGACACGGCAAATAAGAGTTGTTTGATACTTGTAGGAGTAGAGCGGGAAACATGATTCTTATATTCATCATGAGGTGTGAACAAATGCCAAATGCATAATATCAATATCCATACTGATTAATTGGAGTAGCATAATTGGAGGAGAAATTATACGGTCAAAAGTTAGCAACACAAAATGAAAGAAATTGGAGAGTGAAAGCAAGGTTGAGGCCATACATTACAAAGCAGAACCCGCAAGGAGTTTTGGAATTCTTATCCAATCCCATAACTATCTTTTTAATCTCTCCAGCACGATAGAACAGCTCATATACTTGCTCCTCTGTTGTGTAGAAGGACATGTTCCCCACATAAACAGTTGTCGCCTTTAGCAAAGCATCTTCAAATTCTTCTTGTGTTCCTGGAAACCTTCTATCCCTATATGCTGAAATCTTGGCCAAGTCCTAAGAGAGAAAAACAGCAGAGAAGAAGGAGCAGACTTAAGACAATCCACCGAAAGCACAACTTAAGAACATTAAATCATTGGACAAATTGCTTATTGAATAAACATCCCAGGTATACAAAAGTCAAAGAAGACTGGCGTTCAAATTACCTTGAAGAGAGAAGCCATTACGTTTTGCTCTCAACGACATCCAAGGGCAGCTCTAGGGTATAAGTCAAGAAGAAGAAGAAACAAAAGCAAATAAGTTAAAGAGGGGTTAAATAACCACTTAGACCCCTTAAGTTTGAAAACTGACACTTGGATGAAATAAGGTCAAACGTCAATTCTGAATCAAATACAACAAAATGAGGCTGATTATCAAACCATTCTTGATACACGATAGGACAGATAGATGTGGGGCAATATTAGGTATCAAATACTCTCTTCATTTAGATTCTTAAAATAAAGCGAGGAAATGGAAACTGGTGCGGATGAAAATGAATTTTGAATATTGATTATCAATGTAATAATCTGGTCGGTCGTTTTGTATATTTGAGGCTCATTCTCCCTTGTATACTTTAGAAATCGACGGTTCGATTTTACGATCATCAAGACATCTCGATGGTTTTCGGTGATCGACTTCGAGGGTTCTCAGTGATCGACTTCGAGATAATGTAAGTAACGACCGGCCTCGAGGCGATGTAAATTAGTGGTCTCGGTGGATCAATGTGAAGTTACCAAGGCGCGTAAATAGAGCTGACAGAGTCTAGTGGACAGGTCCAAAAACGAATCAAGGCATTAAATGGATGTACCAGCCCCATATCTTTGTAATTGATGCATTTGTACTATGTTGGGATTTCCCCTCATATATAAAAGGGATCCTTGCCATTTTGTAGAAATGTGATATTCAATACTAAAAACACAAGAACATTCTCTCTGCTCTCTAACACATTCTCTTGATCTTATTACTTCTATTTATTGCCTACATTCACTGTGTTCTATTTATTGTTCATCATTTATTGCTTATCGTTGATCATAAAGAGCCATCAACGTAGCTTTCGTAACTGTTAGTCCTCCCTTGATCGCTCTAAGTCGGTCACCTAACTCGACCCCGAGGCCTCATATACGACAGATCGAGGCCCTGATCTCTAGCCGTTTGGTTCGATTATCATATCGTCTCTAAGCTATAATCTTGCTTTCTCATATTTTACTTAGCATCCATTGCCTAACAACTAACATAAAAATAGATCACGTATTTTTAGAATCATAAAATCAAATCTAATTGTAATTACCATTTCCATGGTAAACAGTTTGGCGCCCACCGCGGGGCTAGAAATAACAGTGATTATTTTCTTGCTGATTTGCTACATAACGTAAGTTACCTTTCACACTTTTTCTTGTCCAGATCTTTGATTTCAGTTCAAAATGTTTAACTCAGTAAACGGATGTAAAAACAACGGTCTTGAGAACCACGGAGAGAATGGTGTAGCCGTTCCAAGTATTGGCGCACCACCACTAAACCCTGAAGGCGCGCTAGAGCCGATCCCCGCAGATGCGGTCTAGCGCGATGCCCAGCACGTTGATATAAGCTCCCGCACTAATAGGAGCGTACACCAAGGAGACCAACAAGAAGCTCAGAAAACCCCCAGCTAGGGAAGAGCAGGAGGTTAGCCTTCACGTTATTTTGAAACGTTACAGGCACAACAGTTGGCGATTACTCAGCTGCAAAGTCAACAGAAAACTCCAAGCACGGTAGCACCGGGAATGGCTTCCCTAGCCGAGCAGGTACCGGGAAGATCAAGCAACAACGGGCCGGCAACCGACCCCACCCTCATAAAGATGCTCGAGGACCTCACGAAGAGGATCGAGACGGGCGAGAAAAAGATAGAAGCCAACGATAAGAAGGTAGAGACCTATAATTCTAGGGTCGACCGAATTCCGGGCGCACCCCCAGTCCTGAAGGGTGTAAATTCGAATAAGTTTGTACAAAATCCATTCCCGCAGGAAGCTGCACCGAAACCCATTCCAAAGAAGTTCAGAATGACCGACCTTTCGAAGTATAATGGAACCTCGAACCCCAATGAGCACGTCACCGCTTACACTTGTGCGGTGAAGGGCAACGACTTGAGGGACGATGAGTTCGAATCCGTCCTGCTGAAGAAGTTCGGGGAGACACTCTCGAAAGGGGCCATGATGTGGTATCAACCTAGCTCCTAACTCTATAGATTCATTTGCCATGCTGGCAGATTCTTTCATAAAGGCACATGCTGGTGCCATCAAGGTAGCTACAAGGAAATCCGACGTCTTCAAATCAAACAAAGGGAGAATGAGATGCTGTGAGAGTTCGTATCTCGCTTTCAAATGGAACGAATGGAACTACCACCGGTCTCTAAGGTTTGAACGAGCGAAGCTCGGTAGCTTCAAAGCAACTGAAGCAGAACCTAGTCGAGTATCCCGCCGTGACCTGGTCGGACGTCCACAAGCGATACCAGTCAAAGATCAGGGTCGAAGACGACCAACTAGGAGCCCCCTTGGGCTCGGTATATCGCAGTAGGCTTCCGGCATAGGAGACAAAGCCAAACAAGGAAAGGTACCCATGATATACTGAAGATAGAAGAAATGCCCCAAGGCGCAACATACCCCGCTATGATCGAAGGATGACCGAGGTCAGATTCCTCGGGGACTTGTCAGCAGAGGTGGGTTCGATAGGCACACAGGACCGATGGAGACACCTCGCTTGTCAGAATACAACTTCAACGTCGACGTATCAGACATCGTGTTCGCCATCAGTAAAATTAGAGACACCAGGTGGCCAAGGCCTGTACAATCAGACCCTTCGCAAAGGAACCATAACTTAGTGTGTGAATTTCACAACACGCATGGTCACAGGACCGAAGACTGCCGACAACTCCGGGAAGAAGTGGCCCGATTACTTAGCAAAGGTCACCTCGGGGAATTCCTCAGCGACCGAGCCAAAAATTTATTCCGAGAAAGAGAGGCGACCAAAAAGAACGAAGCAGATGAGCCGCAACATGTCATCCATACGATCTTTTGAGGTGTCGGCACCCTGAAGGAACCCACGGCCAGGAGAACAAAAACATCCCTCGCCAGAGAAAAGCAAAGTCGAGGCTCTATCTCAGCCCCATAATGACGCACTGGTAACTTCTTTTCTTGTGAACACATTTCAAATTAAACATGTACTTATGGATCCAGGTAGCTCGGCCAATATTATCAGGCCGAAGGTGACAGAGCAGCTCAGACTGCTTGACCAAACAACGAAAGGGGACACCACCATACCAGTCAATGTGGCCGGCACAACCCAAAACACCAATATCTCCACCATCAAAGGGGATGAAGGATAAACAAACAGTGAAATAGCGACCGCGAGGCATGTTCTCGGCTGTACCTGAATGAACAAACAAAGGGTTGTACCGTGTCCTCAATGCAAATACTGAAGTCCTACCGAGGCTAAAAGCGCCATCGTCACTAAGGTATAACCATCTCCCTTTTAATTTACACCTCATACAAACCTTTATGCAGGTGTCCGACTAAGACAGTCGAAATGCTAATCCAGCTCGAAGACCTTAAGGTTTTAAAGCACACGTTGCACTCTTTTCCTTCGACCGAGTTTTTATCCCGAAAAGGGTTTTACCAGCAAGGTTTTTAACGAGGCAACCTCTATATGCTACCTAAGGAAGACTCAACAAGTATTCAAGGCTTCTTTTGCAATCAACCTCGAATACTGGGGGGAATTCCCCTGGAAGGTCACTTACTCGGAGAAGCCAAAATGCGCTAAATGGGGTCTCGATAGGAAAACAATGTACCGGGCCAAACGGTCTAACGAACCGTGCCCGTATAGAATCACTGAGCCATTAACAACAAAGACATATATGCTTGTACCAAGTAATCAAAGAATACTTTCCAAAAGCATTTTGCGTTTCAAAGAAGTTCGGTATTTTTGCAAAAACGGCTCCTTTGTCAAAAATGTCCTGAACACTCAGGGACTGGCGTCAACAACTCGAAACAATGCGACCCCTGGGTTGGACCTTTAAACTCGTAAGCCCTCAATGAGGCAACATTAAGATCACAAAACAGCTCCAAAGCCAAAAAGTCCTGAACACTCGGGGACTGGCATCAAAATCTCAAAAGCCACATGACCTCCGGATCAAAAACTATGAATTCGTAAGCCCTTAATCAAGCAATACCAAGTTTACAAGAAAAGACTCCCGAGCCAGGAAATGTTCGATGACTCAGGGATTGCCGCCTATAGTTATCCCCCTCGACTTATCAAAAACCCGAGGCCATAAGACCCCAAGTGGGCAGACTCGGTCTCATAAGACCTATATAAGGCAATAACAATATCTGTAAGACCTCAAGCAAGGCATGAACCGCACTTGTACCAAGTGACACTATCTGTAAGACCTCAAGCAAGGCATGAACCATACTTGTACCAAGTAGCCAAAACTGTAAGACCTCAAAGGCATGTAAAACTTGTAAGACCTTACTAAAGGCATAATCCCGATATTAAAGTTAAGGCTATATATCAAAGTTATAAGACCCCTAAAAGGGCATACACTCGATATAGACGCCGAGACTACTTAAAGGCTCTGGCCAAACACAAATGACTACGGTCACAAGGCTGTACCATCCAAACTAATGCGACTCGGGGGCGCCCGACCGCTTCAATTACTTCGAAAGTACTTCGAAAAGAACCGGTTAAACAGGCTACCCTCGACATAGGCAAAAGAGCTTCGACCATGTCAGCTCCTAACTACAGGCTTCGAGATACTCAGCCACCGAGCCAAACCTCCCGAGGTGCTCGATCATCGCCATATAACGACTCACAATCGAGGTTTTTATCAAACCGTCGAAGAGTCAGGCAAACACAATTTCAAAAAATCCTTAACGAGGGAAAAATAAAGCCTATATAAGAGATCGTACCGACCCAATGCGTAAGAGCCACTGTTGCCCAGCCCATACAAAAGGTCGTACCGACCCAATGCGTAAGAGCCATTGTCGCCAGCCCATACAAAAGGTCGTACTGACCCAATGCGCAAGAGCCACTATTGCCAGCCCATACCAGTGGTCGTACCGACCTAATGCGTAAAAGCCTAAGGGCCAGCTTGAAATTCAAAAACTTGAGGGTCGAACGAGCTCGAGTCGATACCTGACTCGGAGACTGAACCCAAAACAATTGACCAAACATGCCTAAGAGCAAAAACATAAGAGCTGGAACGCCGACTTATACTAAAAGGCCATACCGGCCAAGCGCGTAAGAAGCCTACG